CTAGATTAGTTCGGCTCACATAACCCCAATCTTGTATAATCTTCATTGGCTCCCGGTTGCATACCGGATTAAATTCAAAATTGTCATCCTTGCATTTAGATCCTTAAATAACCTTGCACCCTCTCTGCAACATGCTTGTCCCCTACACCCCAACTCGCTCTTTACGGTCTGCTGACTCTGGCCTTCTTGCTGTCCCTCGGTACCGCCTCTCTTCAATGGGGGGGCAGATCATTTAGTGTTATTGCACCCAAACTCTGGAACTCTCTACCACACTCACTCCGCTCTGCTAATAATATCTCTGAATTCAAATCCTTACTTAAGACTCACTTATTTTCTGAATGCTTTGCATCTGATCTGCCAAACTGACCACTTAATCTGATCCACCACTACTCTGCTCATATGTCTCTTAGGTCTTGTTTGTGTTATTCAAGTTTGTTATATTTGACCTCATGTATGTTTGTTTATCTTTTTGTTGCATTCCTTGTAAAGTGTCCTTGAGCTCTGGAAAGGCGCTATATAAATAAAAATTATTATTATTATTATTATTATCAATTTATTATACCTTTGTGAATATAATATTAAAAGTCGCATAAACTTTATTTGAAGTAAAAAGTTAAACAAACCACAGCTGAATCAAATATTGAGTATTATTCTATAATTATAAGACTAGCCTGTAGCTCTTCACATGATTTTATTGGAGAAATGTCTGGTAATTTCTTATGTCGAATCAAAAACCTTTTTTTCTTAATTTCTATTTCACTTTAAAAAAAAAAGTTAATGTGAATGAAATTAAGTAAAAACTAATTGAGGTAGAATTGCCTCAAACTCAAAAAACAAAACAAAAAAAATCCCCAGGCTATAAATTATACTATAATTATTACACTTAACGTTAGGCGTCTAGCTATATTCTGACAGGATTTGACTAGAGAGAAGTGTTCTCTGAGGTATTTTTTTAAAACCCAAAATCACGCTCATTTATAAAGGTGTCTGTAGAAATTATAGTATATCATGATTTATTTATACTGTAATCATATAAACGGTAAATAAAAATTAAAAAGCTATCACCTCAAAAGTATGCTGTCTGTTGTAAAACTGAAAAAATTTACAGTTTGGTTCATCCAATCAAAGCGAGACATCCATCACCAAGGCTTATATGACGTTGAAAGGAAACCTTTGTTGAATGTCCATGCATTTTTTTTTATTATTTTTCTAAATATAATAAATTTATATTAACAAATGTTAATAAAAAACAGTGTGGCGCATCCAATCGAAAGCGAGACATCCATCACCAAGACACATGATGTCAGATGGATGTCCATGTTGATTGACAGTGTGGCGCATCCAATCAGAAGCGAGACATCCATCACCAAGGGATATGACGTCGCCTTTATCAAGCAATGTCCATGTCTTTTTTTATTTTTTTTATTTATATAATAAATGTTGATTGCTTTTTAAAATGTATTATATGTAGTACAATAAAACATTTCTAAGGTCATATTTAATTAAAATATTATCAATGAGTTATTCTCATTGAATGAGTAATTAATATATTTTGTTGGTCACTAGAGTGATAAATTATGATTGTATGCTCATTAGAAAATTATTATGTTGTTTTGGGTTTTTAGCAGTACCAATACATTTATAATTTTAGTTGATATCTTTTACATTTAAAAGTTATATATTGTACCTTCTTTTGTCCTAATATTTTTTAGATATAAGCAAGTTATAAAATTATTGTTTTTGAGAAACATGAATAAATCATTAATTAACATTACCATTAAATTAGTCCTTTTGAGGGAATTATATCGGATGGTGTATGACGGTTTTTGTCCTCAGTCTATTGTACTTGCATTTTACACCTCCTGTTCGTTATTCTGCCATATTTACAGGGTTAATTCAGTATATAAATTATAGTTTGACTTGAAAAGCCTGGATTTTTCTGTTAGTCTTCAAATTTGGTTAAATATTGATGGATTCTCATTAGGGATGAACTGATTTTTTTTACAAACCGATACGAGTATGAGTATTTTAATTTGTGTACTCGCCCATACAGAGTACCGATACTTCTTAGATTTCCTTTCAATGAAGTGTAACTACTTTGAAAGGAGATTTTATTTTTTTCCTTTAGCAAAAATAAACACAAAAATCTTTAACAGAAGGCTATTAACAAAAAAGACAATGTCATCACTTGACATTTGCAATGTTATCACAAAATGTAAACATAACCAGATAAAGGAAACGAAAAGTGGTGCATAGTTAACAAGCAACAAAAAGTGAGCAGAATTATCACTTATTAGCATTCAGTTACACAAAGTCCCAAAACAGCTGCCTTTAGGTACACAATAATTAGACAATGTGCATGATTAAAACTATTAAACCAATCAACGCATTGTTGTTAAATGTCTAATAACAACGTTGCAGCCTCTGAATTAGCCGATGCGTTTTGTGAGAGGTAGATTTTTTTTTTAATGAACAGAATCTTCTCTGCATGCTCGGGTGTTAAGCTGTTTCTGCTTTCATGTACAAGGTGTGAAACGGAGCTAAACAGTCGTTCACTGTCTACACTCCTGCACGGTGCTAAGAGGTATTTGTTTGCCATTTTGGCCAGAGAAGGGAACCTCACTTTGTTAACCTCCCAGTACTGCAGTCCTCACGGGCCATTGGGGGCTCAACAAAATATGTCTCTAATTGTGCTGTAAAGCCTACAGCTGATGGGGTCAGAGCATATAGAGATATATTGTCTAAATTGCTGCTTGCCTGATCACTGCGTTGTTTTCAGAGGGTGGCCAACCCTATTCCTGGAGAGCCAGCTTCGTGCAGATTGCAACCCATATCAAACACACCTGCCTGTAATTATCATGTCGTGTTCAGGTCCTAATTAATTGCTTCAGGTGTGTTTGATAAGGGTAGCAACTGAAATCTGCAGGAAGTGTGGCTCTCCAGCAACAGGGTTGGTCACCCCTGTGCTAGGTGGTTCATGCAGTTTATCCTCTTCTGAATTCAGCCCTTGCAGCTCAATCATTAGCAACCCCATGGCATTTAGAGCAGTGTTGGTGTTTGAGGAAAAAGACACCTTTATACCTTAAAAATTACAAAAAAAAAAAATGTAGGGTCACTGTGTGGAAATTCCACAAAAATACCCCTGCCAAGTAACTTTCATAAAAACGTATTCAGCGTTTACCTTTAGTTAAAACAAGTGCGCGGACACACACACACACACATACATACTCACATGGACTCATACGCATGTGTGCGGACACACACACACACACACACACACACACACACACACACACACACACACACACACACACACTCACACATCAAGTAGAAATCTAAAGTTTAGAAAAGAAGAAATTGTTTACAGCGTTCACAATATGTGTAAAATTATCCAAATGGCATCTTTTAGACTTTTCCTTTAAATGCTAGATATATTAAATACTGAAACAGTATAAAATCTAAAATGAGTTTAAAACTACTTTTAAAATGTTTTAAAAGTTGAAATCTAAAGTTTAGATAAGTAGAAATTGTTCACAGCGTTCACATTCTGACTAGTACAGTTGTCCAAATGACATCTTTTAGACTTTTCCTTGAGACATTAAAAGGAACTGTGGGTATCAAGGCATGTATGACTTAAAATAATGTAAAAGATGCCTCTGTGTGAAATGTGCATTTATTTTGGACCATGGATGCTGCCATTGTTTTAAATTATGTAATCTGGGTTCGTTGCCTGTGGTGCTCTTTTACTTTTACTTTTATTTATTATTACTTTTATAATAAATGCTCCAAAATTGGTGAAAGAAATGTTCCTACTATGGCACATTTGGTGCTCTTGGCTATAATATGGGGTTTTTTTTTTTCCCTACAAAGTCATGTTATAACATTAAATGTGCAAAAGACATAATTTGTAGCTGATGGCCAACCAACCGCCCGCAGCCAGAGTCTAGCCCTGGCCACATCGCAGGGAAGCCATGAACAAACCTCGACTCTTAGGCCCCGTTTACACTGCCAGTTATATGTGATTCAATTAACCCTTCGCTAAACCACGGCCAAAAACCACCACCCACCAATCGTGGCTTAGCAGCAATAGGTTTGCGCATGGGCTTTGTCAAGCTTTCGAGCGAGTGCATATAGATTGTGCGAATCTGATACCCGGTATCCTTAAAGTTTGGACAGGATGGTGGAATTTTTTCCCTTTTCAAAACCTAAAACTTAGAAATGCCAGCGTGGATCAAGCTGTATGAGGGGCGCTAAAGGAGCGGAGCCAAGTTGGTTTTGTTTTGATATTCCTGACACATTCAGTGATAGACAGACGGCAATAACTCACACACCTCACACTAAACAGATCTAATCTGTTTCCTACACAAACACAAAGCTGGTTATGTTTCACAGCTGTCTTATTCCTTTTTTTCCGCTGGATTTTGTGAGTAATGCTCTGTTTAAGCCGTCGCCATAACTTAGTCATACTAATAGCGAATTGGTCATAATAACATGAGTTCTTGATCCAGAAAATAGGAATCTGAGAATCTGTTGCTTACTTTACTGAACTTCATATTTCCATCTATTTCAAGCTAAGAATATTTGAAATTACAAATCAATGCAACAAAACGGAGATATAATCACAAACTGAGCACTTACGATCAATATACCTTACAACCAGCTGTTTTTTAGTCATTTATAAAGAGCAAACAAACATACTGACAGTATGACAATAGGTACATTGTACTGTACATTGTTTTGGGTCAATGATGGTAATATTCGGCCATCAGTTTCCCTCAAATCCATCAGTTTCCCCTTTCTGATCCATGAATGAACTATTTAAAAGCACTGTCATGCATGTTTCCTTGTCGGTTAGTAACAATATATTTCATTGCACAACTATTCATCTATCAGGCTTGTTGGCTAAAAATACAGAAATCACGGTTTCATTTGTTATTAGATTATGTTTAAATTTCAACTCTCCTGCTGAGCATGAGCCAAGCTGTTGAATGGTTAGCGTATGAGGCGGCTAGGCTAAGCTAGCTTCAATTTTGATTAAATTATTCTCTATTCGGTTGCCTATTATGACGTGATTATACCCCTGTAATGCATACTGCAGTCCTTTTTTGCCTGGCTTTCTCGGATATCTCACCTGTTCGCCAAAAATGATATTATATCACTGGCAATGTCTGAAACCGGCGCACACACATTGAGAAATCCGTGCCAGGCACAAAAGCTTGACAGGCGTAGCAACAGTAACTAAGGATGGCGGGGCTTGGCGAAGGGTATATTCCTATTTTTTGCTCATATGCAACACAGATCAGATCTGTTCTATGACCGTGTAAACGCACAAAAAAAAAAACATACATTTGGATATTCAGAGATCGGTTTCAGGCCTCCTTCATATGTCCTTCGGATGTGTGACAATGTGACTGTCATATAAACAGGCAGATCAGATTTATTGTGGCATTCCGTTTAATGTTATTAAACTTGCGACAGAGTGGTGCTTCTCCGTGGTTTAATGATAGAAGAAACAACGTGTGTGGAAGCACCAAAGTGGAAAACAACAACAACAGAGGAAACACGGAGGAGGAAAAAAGTCAGTCGCCACAATTTGCTCCCAACAGACCCGAGACCTCTCTCAAACCCACAAAGTCCTCTGAATAGTGGAGGACACCATATACCATAGGTGCAAGCTGCAATGACGGCCCTTTCCCACCTAACACACACAAATCTGTTAATATAAAAAAAGTACATCAGGGTGTCCCAAACCTTTCATGACACTTGGCAGTTGTGATAAGCATGCAAAAATTAATTTATATTTATTATACATGTCATAATTATAAAGGTGAAAGTAGGGTTGTGCCGATTGACGATAGTATTGTATATCGACGATAGAAAATAATGTCGCTCAGAGCTGAGGCCATCGGCGATTTTTAAAAACGATATTTGGCTCAACAGTGTTTCCTCTAGGATTTTTTCCAGCTGTGGCAGCAGGTCTTTCACACAAATCTACCAACTAGGCTACTATGGTGTCATTTCAATGACAAATGAAGAAATGTCATGAGTGCAGCCTTACAATTATTAAGCAATTCTTTAAAGCTTTGCTTTTCAACGGTGTGAAAGGAATCCATCTCTTTTGCGATATACTTAGACACAGCGGCCGTGGCCCGAGCCCATCTTTTACTGTTTTTCTTGTATTTGGTGGATTTTGCAAAAGCTCTGAAGATGGATGGCTGGCTTGGAGACGAACCATCTAACACTTTAACACACATCTTTTTCTTTCTTTCTATCTTCACTTCTTCTTCTTCTACTTCGTGTGTGTTTAGTTGTCACTAATTAAGCGTTCATGTCATTGCCTGCGGGATCACGTGGGGGTCCGGGGCCCCAGTTCGCTGGGTCACGAGATGGTGGACAACACCAACATCAACAGCCTGGTGCTGGTGCGCGTCGTCCGCGAAACTGGCAAAATGCCGACGATGAATTTACGGACCGAATGTTGGATTTGATGGCGGATTTGAGGGTGAGGGTGCCACGAGCGGGCTATATTCGTACAGCCTGGGAGGGTCAGCACCATGATCCACTCACACCTCACCAGCATGGCAGAATTATGATAGCACCTGCTGACAATCCAATGATCTTCGACGCGATCGGTGGTGCAGGACGGAACTTGAAATCGATGTTGCGAAACCTTGATATGGCACCCTTCACCCTCCAGGTGATGGCGCAACACCAAATGGATGTTCTTACATTAACTACTGCGAGCTTCATTTGCTACTTGAAGCACAATCGCGCTGACTTGCGTAAACAGCAGCTAGTTATGGAGACAATGGTGCCACATCTTCCAGTCCGCGTCATAATGAGATCTGCTGAAGCTCAAGCTGAAGTCGCACGCCTCTTGGACAATGTCCAGGCCCTTCGAGACGCTTTCTGGTTTGCGGATGGGTTGGAAGCTATACGTCGCGCTGGACCCAGCGCCCCTCGAGGAGCCGACATCTGGGATCAACAGTTGGCGACGTGGCGTGATAGAGTGACATTAGCCGGGAAATTACGGTTCCTCCACCTCATGGCCTTTATGTTACAAGAACATCGGGCGAAGGAAGTAGCGGTTGGAGCAATTATATTGACCCTCGTCTCTTTCTCTGTACGGGGAAACATGTCAGCGGCTAAGGTCACTAGGGTTGTGGCCGAACTGACACCAACAATGCCGTATGCAGGCGAGGCGTTAACCGCTGGTGATATTCAGCTAACCTGGACCAATTTTGGTCAGTACGTTGACGACACTGTCATGCCGGCTATAATCCGGAGGTGGCTTACGTACATACCCCAACACGCCTTGAGAGTTCGAGTCGTCCTCGCACAAGCTGCAGGATCTGGGCTTACGTCCTTGGATGTGATCGCAAGGGCAATACACGAGAATCCCGCGTTTCCGTGGATACTGATACAACGAATGTATCCGGACCAGTGGGACAATGCTGGTCTAGCTATGCGAAGGGTAGGTAACAACCCATACTACGGTTTTCGCCATAACCTTGAGCATGTAAGAGCAAATCAGTTCAGGCACTTGGCTGCGTTTTGCGGGAGACTTTTGATCGCACTGGGAGATGAATCCCTTGGCCGGTATCAAGGCTTTCAGAACGACCGGCTACGCGCAGATGTCTGGAACAAACTGATCACTGGCTATGTTACAGCTCGGGGCAGAGAAGCTCTCGATGTAGAACGCCCAATGTCAGATGCGGAGATACGGATGCAGGCCGCTATGACTGATCAGGTTGCTCTGTATCCAGCTAACCTCGGGGGACTTGCGAACATGGATGGTCATCCAGACGCTCCTCCCCCCAGGCCTCGCAGGCGCTGCCGTCCAGGGCATCCGCGATATGGTAATCCCGCCGATTCGTCTGATGATGACGACGATGATGATGGGAATGCAGGAGTGGGCGGAGGCAACAGACAACGCCGACGACGAGACGGAGGCGGATCAGGGAATGATGACCGTGGTTCAGGTCATAGCCGATGCCAACACAGTGCTACCCAGTCTGATGGAGATTCTGGGAACGAATATCAGATGGCTAGTCAAGACCCAGCCCCACAGCCAACCAGCACTATGACCCCTGGTCAAAGACAATTATATGAACAGTTAGAACTAATGAGGGCAGGGATTGAGCAGAGAGAACGAGAAAGGGAAAGGGAACAGTCGACCCAGGCAAAGGCAGTGGGTACAGATCAGTCCCGCTCGCACCTAGAAGTCTTGGCTGAGCAGGAGGATGAGGTGTTTGTTCAACATGCACCAGTTTCAGCACAACCACCGGTGTCCTCACTTTCCCCGTCCAAAGCTATAACTGGGTCAACAACAGGCCAGCAGGGGCCCAAGTTGGAGTCAGTTGTAATGGGACCGCCACCTGGGCTGTCGTCTACACCAGGCCAGTTTATCCCAGCTCCAAGTCCGCTTCGTCAGCCAAAGTACTCACTTGTTGACGGTCGACTGGTTGATCAATCAGGGAACAAATTGTCATCAGAGGCAGTGAGTCAAAAATGGACGGCTCAACCACAGTCTTCAACTAGCGAGGATGAGGGCGCGTCGGATGGAGGTGTAATCGTTGACCCTAACCAGAACCAACAGCCAGCCAATAACCCTCCTGCGCCTACCACTCCGCGAGCAGAGCAGCCACCAGCCTATGTTGGTCTAAATACGCCAGTGTACATTGACAGCTCAGACATGGCTCATGATTCTCTCAATTCTACTTTGTCATCTGCACAGTGGTTCTACGATGACGATGGTCAGGATGCTGCGAATGCCCAGGCTCATTTAGGGTCTGAGATGGTTCGAGCAGGAACGGCCCCAGGGCACGGACTACAGTCAGGACAACAACGCTCACAATCATTGGGACACCCGGGGTCCGGAACATTCAACCCGACACAGTCAGCAGGGGGATACTCACCTGCCCGATCAACAGATGGGGTACGGCAGAGGCATCCTCAGTCCACTTCTGGATCAATTGGAAAGTCTGCTGGGGCTGCCACCGACCCCTCGACCCACTCCCGAGGAGTATAATAGATTCTTTCCGTCGCGGTCAGGGCGCACAGCACCAGCGTCTTGAAATGATTATTCCCAGGGAGTTTTTAATGCAATCAGGAGCATTTGCACTAGTGAATATGTTACTCGACGTTATGTTGGCGAAGTGCGGTTGCACAGTTCAGCGCCAGAGTGTTTTTAAGTTTAGTGATGTCTTCTCGAGAAGGTTTTCTGTTTTATGCTTAAAGCTACTATTGTAGCGTATGACAAGATTTGTGAAATCATCTTCGTCGTTATTATAACTGTTGCACTAAAGTCTACAATAATATTATTATCTGATATGCTAAAAAGAACTATGAGGAAGATTATAAATACAACAACACGGAGAAGATCCAATAATAGAAACTACCTCATTTTCTAAATAGATAAATTAGTTCATTGTTTTCAAAAAAAAAAAAAAAAAAAAAATGAAGATGGATGGCTGGCATGGATCTTTGGCGATTGTGAATGCATCTTTTTTTTGGTCCTAGTTTTGCAGCCTCTGCGGGGTGGCGAGTACACAGATGTACAAATAGGTTTGTTGTTTGGGACTCACTTACAGACACAACCTTGTTGCAAAATTTGCAGATTGCCTGAGTAATATCCTCTGAGCCTGTCGCATTTGTTTTATAACCAAAAAATTGCCAAATCGGTGATGTGACATTTTTCTTGTTCACAATCTCTATCTTTGCAACCTTAAGGATGAGGGAAATTTCCGCTGACTCATGTCTCGTGATAGAAATAATTTCATTTAAATAAATTATTAAGATTAAATAAATGATTAAGTAACCTAAGTAAATTATATAGAAATGTAAATCAGTTAGGGAAATAATAAATACCGTTTAATAAATATATGAGAAGAAACTTTTGTACTGAACAGCCCCGCCCCCATGCGATATAATCGTGTATTGGCGATCTCACAAGTGGACAATATGGGCGATCTGAAAATTCGGCATATCGCCCAACACTAGGTGAAAGTTTAATGAACATCCCTTGAACTTTTCTTTACAAACAATAGAAAATGCAGTCCATTGGGTCCTGAATGTCTTTTGGATGAACCTGATCGGGGTCAGCAGATCCTCCATGGGACCTGATCGGCAGGTTCCTTGTGGAGGACGCTTACACAGATGTACCTGAGTTTTAACTGAAGAGGGAGCTGGTTTGCCAGCCACTTAATAGTACCTGCATAGAAATGTACAGGCACTATGTATTCATCCATATGGCTGTCCAGGAGGATGAGCTTATTGGGCATTTCTAACACTGCAATGATCTCAAGAACTGCCTCCTGGATATGCCTATCAATAAGCTGAAAAACAAAAACAATTTAAAAATGGTTAGTATAAAAGATTCAACTTACATTTGATAAAAGTAACCGTTTTCGTTGTGGATTAAGTTATCTTTTTAAATCCTAAAGGGCACATATTTTACCTCTTTTCAAGATTCAGGATAAGCTTTTTGTACCTCCAGAATGTATTGGTAAAGTTTTGGCTCAAAATACCCATTTGATTATTTATACTTTTCTGAAAATTTGAAGCTGAGCTGTAATGAGCTGTAGATGTTTTTGTTGCTTGTGCCTTATACAGATTAACTAGTTCTCTCCGTCTACTGTTCCCACATGCGCATCAAGCCTTTCTGCAACGAGTTGCACACAATGTCATTCCTCATGCTAACAGCGTGTGTTTAGCTTTGCACTGTTTTTTGTGACAGGATACACATTAATATCCATTGCTGTACGGATATCCGTTATGTAAATGTACAAAATACACCTGATTTAACATCCTCAAACTGGGGAAAAATATTTTATAATTGTACAGACACTATGGGTTTGTGGTGATGCATTTAGCGATTTCTTTATTACAGACATGCACTGTTTTAAAAATGTATTTAAACTTGAAAAAAACATTTTTGAGGTGCAGATGGTCACAGAAGGTGAGTGGTTGTTTTAATCCTCCTACATCACGTTGCACATTTATTTGACTGTGGAAACACTATACCTACACAGATGTTCTACATTTTATTAGGAGAAAAATATTTTTTTCTAATAATACATTTTCCAATAAGTTATTCAATGAAAAAAAAAAAAAAACTAAGTAAAAGTTTTATTTGTACTTTGGTCATTTGCATCAAACAGCCTTCTGTGATGTGTTTTATTCACTACTTCTGACACTACTGTAATCATTATTAAGGCAACAATTTCATATAATTTTACTTCTAAATAATTTTTTCTTTCTCTTGGAGGCTAACAATTTTAAATGTGTGTGGATGAGTGATGTGCACCTTAAAAGTTGTGTGATTGGATAAGTCAAATTTTCCTCTTCCATCTGGTCTTGTGTTTATTTTTAGGTGACTGAGCTCAATGATGTCCCCGACTTAGAGCTCATTTAGTGCTTCTTCCCGCCACAGTGAGACATTGTAAAACGGAGCAACATTTCATCCGCAGGTCCAGAATCGGTATGTGTGCGTGAGTCATTCTGGGCACTTCTACCTGGAAAATGACACACAGGTAAGTATCATAATATAGTGGCTTTTTTTAACCTGACACAGGACTTCACTGACACTGAGTCAGACTTTTTGTTTTGGTGATTTGAAATGTCAACATTGGCAAAACTTGTGTAGTGGGTCCAGGACTCCTGTATCAGCTGACAGTTTAGCGATCCCAGCAATCTGTTAAAATGGTGGAATAAACACAAGACAAATATATACGTGTGAACAGCCCTCCATGTCACTGGGCTATCTTTTTTTCTCTCAACATGTTCACATCAAATTCAAATGGCAAGACTTGCAATATCTAAAATACATTGCTATAGCATTTACTGTATATACATATTGACTGTTTCAGCCTCCTTAATAAACAGCATTTCTTTGACAAATATATTCATCAGCCAATGGCTGTGTAGTACATCTGTATTCACACACTATTCAGTGTCACATGAATCAAATTAACTTAATTGGCTTTTATCTGTACCAAAAATGCTTTAAACTTGACATTCTCTGAATGTTTTGCCCATATAGATCACTCACATGCACTTTTTAAAGCAAACTAAACATTATTAGAACTGAAATACATGTATATACAAGCATATTCACCTTTATTAAACTATTTGAGTAGATATAAATCCCCTTAAATCGCGGGTAAACCCTCATTAAACATGTAAATGTAATCAAACACAAATCTTTTCCTAAGACTTAATATGCACAAACATGTATTCTTTCCATATCAATACAGATTGACACTTAGAACAGTCAACTAACCTGTTAAATGGTGGAATAAACACAAGACAAATATATGCGTGTGATCAGCTCTCCATGTTACAGGGCTATCGAGCAGTCCAAAAAAGGCTGAATCACGCACTGTGCTCTCTTAGCGCCCTCTATCGCTCTGGCGGAACCACCATTCCCTTTATACATTTACACATGCATATCATTAATATCTTCAATTGTGGCAAACCAATATTTGGGGTGTCACACTTGCTTACCTCACCTTTAACATTCATCCAGTGGAAAAGCCTCTTATAACATAACTGTTCAGGGAATTCAATTATCCTTTCAAATTCACTTATTGGTGATGCGGTGACGCAGTAGGTAGCGGTACTTTTGTAACAGTTATATACTGGACCAAATCTGCATAGGAATTCCTGTGCAACTGGTGCTGCAACAGGACATAAGAAGCATCAAGGGTACATGAAAGGCAAATACGCGTTGTCCAACCGTTTCTAAACATTTAATTCTAAACAACAGGAATACAGTCGATGTCAGGCGTTTGTTCTTGTTGCTTAGGGAACAGACACATGCAAAGCACACAGTACAGTCCATACAGTGATCGACTTTTTTCCGAAACACGTCAAACGTAATTTTTCAACATTTGAGGGCTCATGGAATCAACTTAGGGTGCTTTCACACCTACACTTTTGTTTCGGAACCTATCTCGTTTGCCCAGTTAGCGCGGTTCGTTTGGCATATGTGAACAGGGCAATCGCGCTCTGTTCCACACCAAAGTAATCGCTCCGAGATCGCTTGAATGAGGTGGTCTCGGCTCGATTGAAACAAACCCTGGAGCGGTTCGATTGTAGTGAGAAAGCGATCCGATCCGAGCGCGGTTATATCACAGTGTTTTATGGACATGTAATAGGCTTACGGCTATATGAAGAGACAATTATGAGTAGGGCGGAAAGTTTCGCGAGTCTCCAGATGCCCGCAAACGAGTGATGATCTCCCGGTAATCTCGCGTCTCCCTCCCGGTCCTCAAATAGGCATTGTCGCGCACCCTTCTCACCCCTCCCCACCGCATCTCTCCTCAGACACGTCGCGCGCCCACCCTGTCAATCACCACCAAACCACCACCTCTCCTGACAGCTTAGTGGGACACTGCAAAATAAACCCTGACACTCTGACCAATGTGAAGAGAGTTTACTCGCACGTGACTTGTTTTAGCTCTTTTGGTCCGATTAGAAACTTAGCCGTGTGAAAGCGAACCACTCCAAGAGCAAAGAGCAACAATATAACAACTGTAATCTCTGTTTCGGAAAAACTGAATCGATTCACAGGTGTGAAAGCACCCTTAAGGCAGAGGAATGCACGGTCTCTGAAAGCTTGCGACATCATCTGGCTCTTTCAAGGAGTACATACATGGACACCAATGCTAAGATTTTAATATGATTAAGGCAATACTCTGATTAGGAGTCAACACTACCATTTAAACAGTGATTTTTGATTACCTTAGGACCACAGACACCTGCGTTGCGAAATGCACAGGTTTTTTTCTTTCTATTCAACGTGCGGTATCAAATTCCATTAAAAGAGCACTCTTCCGCCAGTCCTTACTTAATGCTCACATTAAATACCTCAGTTTGTCATGGGCATGAATGAAATTTTCCTAAATGAAAATAAAACTGCAGTTAAAGTTGAAAAATTAAAAATGAAACGCATGAAATTACATGAAACTCTGGAGGAAACATGGATAACGTGGTGACGCAATGACATTAATCGATCTGTGTACTATAACATGAAAGATGGGATCATGAAAGGAACATTCAAAAAGCCACTCAAATAAACACCTGAATCATATTATTCTCTTATTAGATTAAGGGAACCATGTAAACAGTCACAAGACCCAACTCGAGAAAAAAAGGAGTTCACCATTTTGATGACAGCCTTTCCACAGGTTAGTAGTAAGTTAATGTAATTTTATCATGCAAATCTTAAATTCATGCTAACCAACAAATTATCAAAGAAAATCTATTAATGTAATTCAAATACATAAAATATGAATTGAGGTTTACTTTAAACTTTAATATTATTGTTCTTGTAAAATTATTTTTTAAAAGATTTTGTCAAATATAAGTTTTTCATGTATGTAGCCATATATATATATATATATATATATATATATATATATATATATATATATATATATATATATATATATATATATATATATATAACATTCTTGGGATAACTAATTTAACTGGAATACCTCTAGAGAGCAAAAGCAAGAAAGGAAGAGGAAACACAAGCCGCAAATAAATATATATATATATAATTTATTTATTTTGTTTTACTTTTCATCTGCACCAACGCCTGTGTCAACTTTTTTCATTTCTCAAGCCATTTCACTCGGATATGTCAGAAAAAAGGACAATCTCAACCTCCATTTTATGCTGACTAGTGACAATTTTCATTTTTAGGTTCATCCCTTTAAATTCATGAACTAACAATGAGCAATACATTTGCTGCACTAACCCTAATAAAAAAAAAAAAAAAAAAAAAAAAATATATATATATATATATATATATATATATATATATATATATATATATATATATATATATATATATATATATATATATATATATAACCCCTATAAATAAAAATACAACTGTTCATTGTTGGCCGATTAATATTTCAGTAATAATCATAACCGGTCATTATGTACTGACGTCATTTATCTCCTATGCGCTCTGTCGCGAGGGAGGTGAGCGCGAGTATTTACAACACTCAGCCAACTCAGGGCCGGTCCGTGGCATAGGCACCATAGGCAAATGCTAAGGGTGCTGTATATCCAGGGGGGCGCCAGAAATAAGCGCAGTTCAGTTAGTTTTGTTTTCGATATTCTTGACACACATTCAGTTATAGACGGCAATAACTCAAAAACCTCTTACCCTAAAAAGATCTAAAGCGTGTTTCCTACAAAAAGACAAAGCTGGTTATGTTTCACATCTGTCTTTCTTTTTTTTGTTTGCTCGACATTACGAGCACTGCTCCATTTCAGCCCTCGCAATATGTGTTTAGACGGGAGAGCTCGTGCTGAGAGGAGCTCTCAGTAGGGGACCGTCAGAAAAATGCTTATTTTTCTTTTCTGCTCCGCTCAGCGCAAGCTCTCCCTGTTGCGAGGGCTTAAGTGTGTGTGTGTTTATTTGTTTGGTGCTGTCTATGTTTGTGTATATGTTTGAATGAGAGACAGTGTGGTTCTGTGTGTCTGTGTGTTTATACAGACAGCTTGTTATAGCCTCCCCCCTAAAATATAACACTGTAAATAGAAAGCATCATCAATGCACCATGATGCACCGAGATATCGAATTGTAGTAATTATGTAGTAACTGTAGTAACTGTAATAATTGTAGTAACTTCTAGTAATTGTGGATAAACTCTTCATGGAAGAATTTATATCCCTTGTCCAGTTTGTTTCCCTTTAGTGGACGAATGCATCTCCACACTCTTCACCACATCGGCGCTGGTGAACTTCGGAAGACAACTCGGGCTCGCCGAAAACACTCTAGCTGGGTTTACACATTGTTGACGTACTTCCAGTTTTTGCGTAAAACGTCTATTGTTTCATACTTCTTAAAAACTACTTCAATTATTTCAATTTTAAAGCTACTTCAAACTTTAAGGCTAGGCTTTCTCAAGACACCATAAAGTTTGTCTACGAACTTTACTTTTCTAGTTTTAATGATACGCAAGTACATAGGTGTCAAAGTCAATTCCTGGAGGACCGCAGCTCTGCACAGTTTTGCTCCAACCCTAATCAAAACACAGCTGATCCAAAAAATCGAGTTGATCAAAAGAATCTTAAACACCTCGATTATCAGGATCAGCTGTGTTTGATAAGGGTTGGGGCAAAACTCTGCAGAGCTGCAGCCCTACAGGAATTGACTTTGACACCTGTGTATTAGTAATTCTTGATGTCAATAGAAACTTAATCTTAATAAATGCTGTAGAAGTGTTTATTGTTAGTTTTAGTAGTCAGCTAATAACCCTTATTGCTAAGTGTTTAAGCTACTGTTGAACTTTAATATTAGAGAGTCAAATAACATCTATAAATGATGGTAAAGTGTCTCTTAAATGACCTTATGATTGTATTTTACTTATAGTCAGATGATATACAGTCAGATTAGGATAAATCAGAAGTTATGGAGTCTTCCGAGTCAGAGATTTCCAGCTGTTGTGGCTCAGATCCTGATTATAAACCAAGTAAGAATTCATGCAGTGGAGAAGAGTTTTCCAGCCCTGACAAAGGAATACTTAATCAGTCCAGTGAGGATGAAGATTTAAATCTGAGTGTAAGAAAGAATGGCTTTAATGAAGAAACGAACACCCGAAATTATAGTAAAAGACACGTCGACACCAAAAAAAACAACTATAACCGTAAAAACCTCCACTAAAAGAGAAGGCCTTAAAAGTGCATGGGATAAAAAGCATTATTGTCTCTACTGCAACAAACCACAAGCCAAGATCTCCAGACACTTATAAACATATAGATATTAAAGATGTGGCAAATGCTTTTAGTTTCCCATTAGGATCCAAAGATCGCAAACTTCTCTTGGAACAGCTTAGGAACAAGGGAGACTTTAAACATAATTCAGTAGTTTTAGAAAAAGGGTCAGGAGAAATTATAACTTGGAAACAGCCCTCAGTTAATGCCTCTGTTAGTGATGACTTGCTGTGTTCTTTCTGTTTCGGCATGTTTAGCAAGAAGGATCTTTGGAGGCATCAGACATCATGTAAGATAAAAAAAATCCAGTTTGAAGGATCAGTCTGATGACAAAAAACAAACAAGAGGAAGAGTACAATCCCGTGCTGCATGTCTTCTTCCAATCGCAGCATCCTCTGTGAAGATAATTAAAGCAATGAGGCAGGATAATGTGTCATTTCACATTTGAAAAGATTCCTTCATTTGCAAATATGGAGAATCACTGTATGGAAAACATGGTCGTGTCAAGTCGAGGCACCAGTACATCGCTCAAAAAATGAGAAAACTCTGGCGATTTGTTTTGGTGGCCCAGGAAATGGACAAAAGTGTCAAAGGGCTGGAGCATTTGTGCGCACCG